CTTCTCATCGAAGAGCTATAGGTCTTCTCATCGAAGAGCTATAGGTCTTCTCATCGAAGAGCTATAGGTCTTCTCATCGAAGAGCTATAGGTCTTCTCATCGAAGAGCTATAGGTCTTCTCATCGGAGAGCTATAGGTCTTCTCATCGAAGAGCTATAAGTCTTCTCATCGAAGAGCTATAGGTCTTCTCATCGAAGAGCTGCAGGTCTTCTCCCCGAAGAAGAGCTGAAGGTCTTCTCCCCGAAGAAGAGCTGAATGTCTTCTCACAAAAGAGCTGTAGGTCTTATCACAGAAAAGCGGTAGGTCTTCTCACAAAAGAAGAGACGAGAAGGTATTCTCATAGAAGAGACGATAGGGTATTTTTATAGAAGAGACGAGATAGTATTCTCGTAGAAGAGACGAAAAGGTATTCTCATAGAAGAGACGAGAAGGTATTCTCCTAGAAGGGACGAAAAGATATTCTCATGGAAGAGTCGAGAAGGTATTCTCGTAGAAGAGACGAGAAGGTATGCTCATAGAAGAGACGAGAAGGTATTCTCATAGAAGAGACGAGAAGGTATTGTCATAGAAGATATGAGAGGTATTCTCATAGAAGAGACAAGTAGGTCTTCTCATAGAAGAAACGAAAAGGCCTTCTCCCAGAAGAACAGAAATATCTTCCCCCAGAAGAACTTATATATCTTCTCCCAGAAGAACAGAAAGGTCTTTTCCCAGAAGAGCCGTAGTTCTACTCCTCGAAGAGCTTCTCACGAAAATCTGAAAGTCTTAAAATCACTATCCAATGAAATACGTTTGCACCTCTATAAGTCAGACTAACGCCACGTGAGGTGTTTTTAAATACCTTTCCACCCTTAATTACCTCATCCCTAAATTTGAACTTTGAACAAAACCCCAACAGCTGCAATAAATTGCCAGCTATTTATCCAAAAATATTTTCCAAAGAGGTTTATCATGCTAATGATTATGGCTATAGGAAAAGGCTCAGCTGAGCTAAAGTGAGAACAAAAAAGACAAATATCAAAACTTATAGGATACAACTTTTCAAACACTGCCAACCATAAAACACTCTCCTCATCCCCACACTCTCCCCTTCTCTTGAACAAGTCAAAAACAAAAATATTTTCAAAATATATAGATTTGTTTTGATTGATCGCTTATTAATACTTGTTTCTAGGCGCCAAAGGCAGCCACAAAACTATGCCAAAGAGGAAACAAAAAACGAAAGACAAATGATGGCAAAGTTTATGAATTTCTGTTGGCGAAAGTTTATTTCGTTTCGTGGTTGAGAGATCTGGCGGAAATGAAATTTCGATTTATTTATATTTTTTTCTCTCTGACAAATCATGTGATGGGAAGTGGCGGAGTGGCAGCACAGGAAAAAAAACTTTATCTTAACTTTCATCTCCCGCCACAACCAGAGGCCACACAGCCACGGCCACAGTGTTTCAATTTACTTTACAAATGACCTTTGCAAAAACCAAAACCGTATAGAAGTAGAATCCAATCAGAAACAAAATAATAAAACGATAAATAATAAATGATAAAACGACAAGGACATGGGGGATAACGTGACGGAATGAAAATAAATTCTGGAAGCGAGTGAAAACAAATTCTGGACAATTACTGAGTGTGGCTTTGGGCTAAATTCCTAACTCCCATAAAAAGGTAAAATTGATCTATGAACGAAAATTAGATGAAGTTCAATTATCGGCTATATTGGTCCAGTTATTTTGGTACCTCGCTTACTTATTTTAGGTATGAGTTTACAAGGCGAAGGAAGTATCTGTATCAGCTATTTCACACAGAAAAATTTCGTATTTTTTGTAAAAACCATGACTCAAGTAAATTGCGAATGAGATCCCCTATTTGGTCTAGTTGTGGCGAATCTTAACATATTTGTCGAACTACAACGAGGATAAGGCTAAAACTAATTTGTGAATTTCTAGAAATAATTTTTTAAGGATTTCCGGATTAATAATAAATATTGGATTGTCTACCGATTTTTTATGACGACAAAGACCAAAAAATATCGCGGAATTTTTATACCCTCAGCTATACGGCTGAAGGGGTTATATATCATTTAATATGGCCAAAGCGTGCTTCATCGATATTCCGGTTTTAGAACCTAGTTTTCTTTGGACCAAATCAGATTCAGGAGTCGATCGGGGGGTGTTTTTCCGTCTGTCAGTCTGGATAACTCTCGCAAGCAGTATCCGATTCGAAACAAACTTGTTGCATTATAATATTATTATTAAACTTATATCGAGTTAGATATTGGGTAATATCGGACCACTCCTTCTGGTACTTCTCCCAAAAAGGTCAAAATTGTCAAAGAAAATATGTTACTTCAAAGAATTTAAAAGAATCATCCATTCAAAATTTTCAAAACCACAATATTTGCTTCAGTGGCAGCTCAGGTGCAAAAAGGGACAATAACGGCCCACTTTATAAAAGTACCTTACCCTCAAAGGGTAAAATTTATATAACTCTTATTAAATGTGAACAAAGTATTCAATTATCTTCAAAGTTCGCACCTCTCACTATTTCCACCGGCACAACGACCGGCCCTCTCCTTCTTGTATCCTCCTCACAACCAGTCGAAAATTTTAATAATTATAACTATCTTACAATGCGAAAATTGCAATATTTTTATTGACACAAAATCTCGTGTGAAGATGGGATACATCGGTCCACCACCTCCTGATACTTCCCCTTAAGGGTCATAATTTTGGATAATCATATCTATATATATATAAGAGCAGTAAAATTTCTGACTGACTGGCTGAGTGAGAACTAAAAGCCAGACTAAACGGAGGAAGCTAGAATCTTGGTGCGTAGTGGTATGGTACGGCTGAGTTTTTTGAAATGCGTACTAACAGGGTACGAAAAGTTGGTAAAATGTACTAAAAATGCAATACTTTATATGGAACAAACGGAGATTGGTAGAAGCCTGAAATATGGAAAGTGTCACTGATAGAGGGCAGAATAGGTGTATCAAAAGGTTTTGGAAATTAGGTGTTTAAGACTACGAAATGTTCTAAAATGGTACTAAACTTCTAACACGGTACAATGTGGTATTATGTAAATCGATCGAGCTAAAAAACTTGAAATTTGGTATAAGAATCAAGGTTAGAAAGTGAGTTTGATATACAGGATGAGATGAAAAAAACTGCAACCAACTTCAGACTGCTGTCATTTCTAAGCCACTGAGGACGGAAGGAAGTGGACGGAAGAAAACATCACCAGAAATTGTTCGAAAAGTAAAGAAGCGACTTGATCGTACCACGCGTCGCAGTGGCAGAAAAATGGCTCGTGAGTTGAACATATCGCAATATTCCTTTCGGCAAATACTGAAAAATGAGCTTGGGTAAAGCCAATGAAACTACAAAAAGTGCAAGAACTTACACCGCAACAGAAAGAAAATAGACTCAAAAGAGCTAAAGAGTGGCTTCGGCCGAAAGTGATGAACTGTCGATTTTTTGTTTCTCCGATGAGAAAACATTCGTTGTCCAGCAGTTTGTAAACAAACAAAATGAGGTCAGCTGAAAATGTGCACCTTTGGTTGGCCACCAGAACTCAAACGCCGGCCATGGTGATGGTGTGGGCCGCCATAACAGCCAATGGTCGCTCTCGGCTCGTATTAGTCGACTGGATATTCTAGAGGGTGTATTAAAGCGTTGGGAACGCAAACATTTTGGCCGTAGACCTTGGACATTCCAACAGGAGTCAGCACTATCGCACTTAGCACGCGCCACCCGAGAATGGTTACGATATTTGGTTCTTTGCTTCATTTTCAGTGCACAAAGGCCACCAAAATCTCCGGATACCAATGCGTTGGACTATTGTGTCTGGAGTATTTTGTGAAGCAAGGTTGACACTAAAACAAAAAAAAGTGTCGGTTGGTTGGTTTCTAGGGTTTACGTATGGAGATGGACAGAAAAGTTACATGGGGGTCCCATATGCATTGGCTTAACTAATATTCTCCTCGATAAACTTAAAAAATTAAAAATGGCACAAAAATCGTAAATTTTCCAACTTTTTTTAGGATTTTGATTTGACAGGATTAAGTACAGAATTTTTTTAAATGTGTTTTAAAGACTTTTCGAATTTTTACAAATAGCGTTCAAGGACTTGCATCTAAATAGTGAATTGTTTAATATTTTCAAAGACCTTCCGCTATAAAAAAATATCATTTTTAAGAACTTCTTGAGCAACAGGATTTTTTAAAACATCCGACTAAAAAAATACATCTAGGATATTTAAAAAATAATTGAGAAGGCCCACTCTCGATAGTCAGGTCTGAAACTTTTAAGAATTAGGTAACTAAAAATATAAGAAATATGTATTTTAAAGGAAAATCTATTAGATGTACAGCCAATAGTTATAACATCTACTTTTCTTTATAAAATTTTTAAATTCTTGCCAAAAAATCGTGTATTTAAACAAAATTTGTTCGCAAGGTTCGTGGTCATTGAACGTTTCTCTCTCAAAACTACTTCATCTTGAAAATCTCAGATATCTGAGTTAAAGAAATGTTCCTTTTAAATATTGCGTCTTTAAAGTAGATATATGAAAAATAAATTTAATTTTTCATTCCCTCCACACCACTGTCCACATCATTACAACTGAAGAAAATACATTTACCATTCGCTGACAAGATGTACATCAATTTCATAAATTCACCTTCAATTTGTCATAATTTTCATTTCATTCCACCGCTTTGCACTTTACTTTTTCTTAAGCAAAGAAAAAACCAAAGGAAAAAATCCTTATTCATCTTCGCTCATGCAAAAATAAGCAGTGAGAAAGAGACAAGGATAAAAAGAGAAAACGCTCCACAAAAATATACATCGAAGAAGTGAAGCATTTATTTTAAATTGTTTTTTGCGTTCTTTCATTCTTTCCACCTACTTATAGATGAATGTTATACTAACCATTTGTTTGTGTGTGTATGTGTGTCTGTTTGTGCCTTCGTGTTTATGTTTCATTTCCTTTTACAGGATTTCGTTCAAGGACTTTCGATACTGTCGCGTGGTTCCGTCGAGGAGAAATTACGTTGGACTTTTCAATTATATGACATCAATGGCGATGGCTACATAACACGGGAAGAAATGACTGATATTGTGACTGCCATTTATGAATTAATGGGACGTCTGCCCGACGAGCTGCCCGAAGAGGAGAAAATCAAAGGCAAAGTGGAAAGAATATTTCAGGTAAGAAGAAAAGAAAGAAAAAAAGAGTCACTCCCTACTCTTTGCCTTGCATTTGACATTGTGTCAAAACAAATGAAAGAGAGGGGAGGGGAGTATTAGCTATTCTAATATTACATAAAATATTGGTGTGGTTGTACCTTCGGACTGATTGAGTGAGTGGCTGTTTGATTGCCTGGCTGTCCTTTGCATACAATATCGAAAAGCTTCCAAGGTGTGTGTGTGTGTGTGTCTGTCTATCTGAATATAACTGTAATTTGATGGATATCCTTCTACCGCCACATTGTGTTAAGGAAATGGTAAATTCTTGAGGATATCTTTACCAGAAATTGTGGTGATTTTTCTCTCTCTCTCGCTGTGGTCCTTCGTTATGCTATTCTTAGATTATTTATAGTTGAAGGTCCTTGTCCTTCGTGGTGCTTGGCAACTGAATGATTTTGAGCGGAAGTTAATTGAATAAATATTATGCTGACATATTGGCTAGTTAGTTATTGAAGCAGACCCGGACCGACCAAAGAGGAGAAAATATTGCCAGCAACAACAACCGACAAAACATTACAAATGCCATCGTTTTGTCCTTAACTTCCTTTCGTTTGCATAACTGACATTATTAATAGTTCAACGGTTGTTGGTGTTTATTTTTTGCAATTTGTTTGTTTTTTTTTTTTTTTTTTTCAAAAGCAATAATAATTTCTTTTCCCCCTTTAAAAAGCGGGACATGCCAAAGAGGATCAGGGAGGAATTTTCAGGAAAATGTTAGGGAAGGGAATCAGAGATAGGTAAAATCTAAATATAAAAGAGTAAAACCCAAGTTAAGAAGCAGTAGGTTCGAACATTGAATATCCTCCACCATTTGGAACGAATTTGGAAATAAAATACTTAAAAAATTCTGTTGAAATTTAAAAAATACGGAATATAGCCGTTATATTGTTGTCTATACGGCGTGGACCTACATAGGCACTGTTTGTTGTAAGCCATTACCAAATTCATATTAGAAACTTGAAATTAACGGTGAATAATGTAGATCTTATAGGTACCCTTATATCCGAGCTGTGCGAAGACCTGGACCAGCATAGACAATTTTCTGTCATGGGCATCCATTACAAACTTCAAGTACGACATCTCAAACAATTTCGGTGGGTATTGTATCTAAAATACCGAATATAGGGAGGTACTGGTATATGGGGCCTATACGAAGACCTGGACCTGCATAGATAATTTTCTTTCACAGACTGTAGTTCCCATAACGAACTCTAAATACGTTATTTGAAACAATTCCGGTGAATAATGACTCTAAAATTATCAAAATACCGAATATAGGGAGGTACCGTTATATGGGAGCTATACGAAGATGTGGACCTCCACAGACAATTTTCTGTCTAAGGCTGTAGTATCTATTTCGAACTTCCAATATCAAATTTGAAACAATTCCGGTGAATAATGACTCTAAAATTATCAAAATACCGAATATCGGGAGATACCGTTATATAGGGGCTATATGAAAACGTAGACCTACATGGCCCATTTACGAACTTAACCTGTCTACTGGAAAAATAAACATGTGTGCAAAATTTTAGCCTTCTATTTCAGTTCGTTCGAAAAATAGCGTAATTACAACAGACATACAGACGGAAATCGCTAAATCGTCTTAGAATTTTACGCTGATCAAGAATATTTGTTGGGTCTGACATGAGTATTCCGAGGAGTTACAAACGGAATGACAAAGTTAATATACCCTCCATAGTATGGTGGAGGGTATAATGAGGGACTGACTCATTCATCAATGCCCAGGCGAAACGGTTGAAGCTAGAATCTTAAAATTTTGCATGTGGATCAATGATGGGGGGGAGGGGTGAGATAAGGCTGGGCATTTGGGATTTCGGATTAGAAGTGTACTAAAAAGCTAAAAAATATCATACCTTTTCGTATTTTGTGAACGGAGATAGCTAAAATATGGACATAAATTATTGGAAACAGGGTTGATGTAAGGAGGTGTTTTGGAGATGTTACTAAGTGTAAGAATTGTACTAAATGGTACTAAAATCGGTACAATTTGGTTTTGGTTAAATGGTTTGACCTGGAAAATAAAAATTTTGGTATAGACTACTCGGATGTCCTGTACAATAGAGTTGGGTTTGAAAATAAGTTCAGCAAGCGTACGAAAGGTACTGCTTGGTACTAAATTTGGTTCTATTCTGTGAACAGGTACTGTTGGACAACATAAATTTGGCATTAGGGTCACTCTTAGTGTGTAGAGTTGAGATTTGCAGATGGTTTTGGAAATTCGTACTAAATAGTACTAAATTGTACTTAGTTTGTCCTAAGTGGAAGATTTTGATTTAGGGTGAATGGATGAAACAGGGAATTTGAAATTTTGTGTTGTTGGTAGGTGATTTTGGAATTGTATACCAAAAGGGCACGAAAAGTACTAAATAGTACTTAATTTGGTACAACATGGAATTGTGTGAACGGACAGTGCTTGAAATCTGCAATTTGGTATTAGAGTCGCTGTACATGTATAGCCTGCACATATGGAGGTGGTTCCGCAAATGTGTACGAATTGTACGAAAAGTGCTGAATGATACTAGACTGAGAATTTCGGAGAAGCGATAGACAAAATTCAGAAATTTGATATTCAGATTACTGATGGTATCTGTGTTTAAGATTTGGCGGTGCTTTAGGAAATGTATACTATAATTGTACAAAAAGTACTAAATTTGCTATTGGGTGTAGGAATATAGCTAGAACCTGAAATTTGGTACAGATGTCACTTCTGGTATCTCAGGTTACGATAAGGACTTGGTTTCGGCGTTTGTACGAAATGTACTGCATGGTACTATATTTGGTATTAGGGGAAGGGATAGAGAAAAAAATTCAGAAATTCAATATTCAGATTACTGATGGTATCTGTTTTTGAGATTTGGCGGTGGTGTGGAAAAACGTTCTATGATTGTGCGAAAGAACTAAATTGTACTGAATTTGGTATCGGGTTGGGATTAGGGATAGCGCTGAATCCCCAAGTTTGATTTTGTGGTCATTGATGGTATCTGAAATTGATACATTGAGGCGGTTTGGAAATATTTACTATAATTGTACGAAAAGTACTAAATGGTACAACATTTGGTATTGCCTGAAGGAATAGGGCTGAGATCCTGAAATTTTATAAAGATGTCATTATTGATGTCTTTGGTTAAGATATGGTTTTGGAAATTTGTACTATAATTGTTCGGAAGTACTTAGTGATACTAAATTGGGTATTGGGTTAATGTATACAGCCGGAATCAAAAAATTTGATACTGAGGTCTGTCTTCGTATCTGGAATAGAGATATAGAGTTGGCTTTTGAAAAGTGTACTACAATTGTACGAAATGGTACTAAATTGGGTATTGGATGAAGGGATAGGGCTGGAATCCTTGAATTTCATATTGAGATCTCTGTTGGTATCTGGAATTGAAATATTGACGTTGGTTTTGAGACGGAAAGTACAAAATGGTACTAAATTTGTTATTGGGTTTATTACGATTATACAAAAAGTACTGCATTTGGTATTGGGTGAATGGATAGAGATGAAATTCGGAAATTTAATATTTAGATTATTGATGTTATTTGTGTGAGTATGAGATTTGGCGGTGCTTAGGAAATGCTTCCTATATTTGTATGAACAGTACTAAATTTGGTATTAAGTGAAATGATAGGGCTGGAATCATCAAATTTGGTATTGAGGTCTCTGTTGGTATCTGGAATTGAGAGATGGAAATGGTTTGGGAAATGTGTACAAATGCTACAAATGAGTGTTGGGATAGATATGGAATTTGAGTCAAGAAATAGATTTGAAATCCTGAGATTTTGATATGAATACCAGTGTTGATGTCTGCAGTTGAGATTTGGAGGTGGTTTTGGAAATGCGGCATTTGTACGTGTTGGAAATGCGGCAAATGGATGCTGGTATAGAGTTGGAATTCCGAAATTTGGTACCGAGGTCACTGTTGGTGTCTAGGGTGGTCGAAGGATAGAGCTAAAATTCTGAAATTTGTTATGGAGGCAATGTTAGTATATAGTTTTGAGAAAAGGAGATAGACTTCGGAATGCTTTCTAAATGGTGAAAGTACTAAATGGTGCTAAGCTTGCCGATGAGTGAATGGATAGAGCTTGAATCCTGAAATTTGATACTGAGGTCAATGTATTGGTACCAAACTGATGCATCTGAAAAGTTTGGAAATTTTGTCCAAGAATTAATGAACAAATTTTTCCTTTTGAGTACTAAAATTAATTGGTGGAACGAATCCATAAATTTTAAGGTGGATAAATAAATAATTTCAGACTTTGCTCAGAAAATTCGAAAAAATCCCTAAGCGAGAGCGTAAACTTCACGGAAAGAAAGTGCGAAGAACCTGTAGACTTATAATTCTTCCAGAGCCCTAACAATACTGATAATCTAGACATTCTGACTCTTATGGAAATATTTGCATCCATTATGAAATATTTACATCCATAGACAAAAAGAGCCAATCACCAAAATTATGAAAATGTTTCAGAATCATTTTCCTCCCAGGTCGTAATCTTATTAGATGCTTTTAAACAAGTGGCAAATAATTTTTATACCCTCCAGCATACTATAAGGGTATATTTACTTTGTCATTCACCATGTAACTCTCGTAATAATTACGTTATTCCCTACAAAATAAGATTTACGTGGATTTGTCGATGTCGTTCTTCCTGTCGATCAATGTGTCTATCTGTAAGAATATTTGTTGAAATCTCTCTAAGTTTGGAAGGATTTGAGATAAAAGTTTATGATTATGTGTACTTAACAACAGGCAGGTCAAGTTCGTAAATAGGTCATGTCGGTCCACGTTTTCGTATAGCCATAATATAACGATACTTTCCGATATACGGTATTATGACGATTAAAGCCACTTTTTCTAATCGAATGGTTAAGAGATCGGTATTAGAGTTAGTAATGGGTTCTACCTTCTATGGTAGAACATTGTCAGTACCGGTCCACGTTTTCTCGTATATAACTTTGAAGTTCCGGTATATTTCGGTGCCTAGCCAGTTTTCAAATTGTGCTTCCTTACTTTGACATTTCATTCCACCATTGTGTGTAGTTCAAAAATACCTTCTCCTTCTCCAACACATTATCAGCAATAATCTATCGCTGAAAACTGGCACAATTTTAAACAACAACGACAACCCAAAACTTCTGGAGTAACATCTGCAAACTTTTTTCTTAAAAAAAAATAAATATCAAAGTCATTCTACCTTGAAAATCATTTACTAAACTGTCAACGTCATTATTTGTAGAAGTTTAAATGTCACAGAGCAGCAGTGAGAAACGCCTTTTTATTTGGTTTTGTTCGAAAACAAAAAGGAAATCTGCCAAAGACATTTGTTTCAAACTACTTATTGATGGGTTTTAATAAATTGCAAATGGTAAAGTTTAAACAAGAAAACGTAAAATTCCATTTTGAAGTCACATTGTTTGTACGTGATCTAAATGGAAATGTGAGGTTGATTATATAAAACCATAAAGGAGAGGTTTTTGTGAAATTTTCTTATATTGATTATTAATTTAATTTGGAACAGGCCAAAAATGGGATAGACCGAAATAGTTAATACACGTTTAATATTCAATCTACATATGGGGCTGGTTATTTTGGAGACAATAATTGTAAGATTAGGTCGTTATATGGGAGGGTATACCACGATTTCAAATTCTGATTTTTAATGTGCGGTTCTGTTTCAATTTATTACAAATTACGTTTAAGTTTTTTTATAATATGTGAAAACTTAAATTATGATGAAATCAGTTGTCTTCCCTAAAATTTCGGACCTGTAAAAGCACAGAACTGTAGTCCATTCAATTGATAAATACAATTATGTCCTTCAAAACCAAATAATGGCAGGATACTGCAATATTGAGACAAGAAAACCAATAGTGATCTCAATATCAAATTTGAGAAATTTTAGCTCTATCCCTTCAACCAGTACCAAAATTAGTAACATTTGGTACTATTCTTAGGGTTTTAGATCCATATCTTAATGCTAGACACCAACAGTTTATAAGTTTTAGCTCTATCCCATTACGCAATACCAAATTTAGTACATTTTGTACAAATATAGAACGCATTTTCAAATCTACCTCCAAACCTTAAACTCATATACCAACAGCACTATCTGTTCACCCAATGCCAAGTTTTACCAAAAAAAAAAAATGTTGAGAAAAAAAACTGCAATAAAGTCACAACCCATAATTTTTAAATTTTTTTATACCCTACACCACATAGTGGTAGGGGTACTATGTCTTTGTGCATTTGTTTGTAACATGGAGAAGGAAGCGAGATAGACCAATAGTTACTTTTGAGGATCTCCATAGAATCACTTTCTGAGTTGATTTATGCATGTCAGTCCGTCCGTCCGTCCGTCTGCCCATGTATTATTCAGGTCGCATTTATTATCCGATTGAGATGAAATTGTTCAAACAATATTTGTTTGGCCCAAGGACGAACCCTATTGAAATTGGAGATAATCGGTAAAAAATAGATAAAGCTCCCATACATATCTTCGTCCGATTTGCATTTAATTGTGCACCAAACGTGTAATATCAGCCCGAATAGTATGAAATTATGCACATACAACCAAATTAGGCCTGAAAATAAGTATGCCTAATTTGATCGAAATCGGTTCAGATATAGCTATAGCTCCCATATATATTGCTCATCCGATTTGTTATTTTTGTCCTCCGCAGCCGTAATATGCACTATGTAACAACAATATTTGGGGAAATATATCAAATACAGCTCAGAAATACCTTTGCTAAATGTTATCGACATCGGTTCAGATTTGGATCTAGCTCCCATATATAACTTTGTCCGATTTACCTATTATTGCACAACAAACGTTTAATATTTGCCCAAAGGGATGAAATTTGGCACATGCGACCGAATTGAGTCTAGAAGCTAGTATGCCAAGAAGAAGAAGATCGATCGATGGTGATGATCGATTCATATATAACTATAGATCCCACATATTTGTTTTGTTTGTATTTGTTACCCACAGCCGTAATATGCACTCCGTAACAACGATATTCAGGCAAATATATCAAATACAGCTCAGAAATATCTTTGCCAAAAATTTGTCGAGATCGGTTCAGACTTGGATATAGCTCACTTATATATCTTTATCCGATTTCAAATTAAATTTGCACCAAATGGGCAATACAAGTCCGAATTTTAAAGATACAAATGCTTCGGCATATTTAGTTCTTTGAACTTTAAATTACAATTATAATCAAAGCGTGTATGATTAAATTCTCCCATAAAATCTTTTAATTGTTATGTGGAGCTCTACTAAATTAGCAAAGTGGTGGTGGGTATCATAAACTCGGCCCCGCCCCTTTGGTCACCTTTGGCACGAATTATGGCCTTCAAACGGCCAATGAAACCGTCACACGATGCACGAATGCGCTAGAAATGAAGCGAGGAACCTAATTTTGTGGTGCGTGTTGGATGCGATGGGCTGAGTCCTGTTGGAATGTCCAAGGTCTGCGGCCAAAATGTTTGCCTGCTCAAGGCTTTAATACACTCTCCAGAGTATTTTCACGATAATATTCGGCATTTATTCTGATGCGATGGTCGGAGAGCGACCATCGGCTGTTATGGCGGCCCACACCATCACCATGGCCCGCGCTTGAGTTCTGGTGGCCAACCGAAGGTGCACATTTTCAGCTGACCTCTTTGGCAAGTAAACACGATCATTTTGTTTGTTTACAAACTGCTGGACAACGAATGTTTTCTCTTCGGCGTAAATCAAATTCGGCAGTTCACCAGGCCAAGCGAAGCAACTTTTCAGCTCTTTCGAGTCTATTTTCTTTCTGTTGCGGTGTAAGTTCTTGCACATTTTGGAATTTCTATGGCTTTACTCCGAGCTCATTTTTCTATATTTGCCGAATGGAATATTGCGATATGTTCAGTACACGAGTCAATTTTTGGCCACTGCGACGCGGGTTTCGATCAAGTCGCTTCTTTAATTTTCGAAACATTTCTGCTGATGTTGCTGTTTTTTCTTCGTCCGTCGGCTTTTCTATTTCAGGTTTTCTATTTTACCCTGTACATTTGAGACTCACATATTCTCATGGGAGAAGTTCCACTCTATTCTAAACTGTTACCAAAAAAAACCTCAAAAGTTTTCCAAAACTAATTTCGTTTTTTTTTATTTTCTTTTTTCTCTCTCTTTCTTTTTTCCTTTAGAAAATGGACATAAATCGTGATGGTGTGGTGACACTGGAAGAATTTCTGGAAGCTTGCCACAATGACGAAGCCATCTCAAGATCAATGTCAGTCTTTGATTCTGCATTCTGACCATATCCGCCCAACGAATATGAAATGAAAAAGTCCACATCCACAACTAAAACCAAAACAGCCAAGAAGACCAAAACAATTGTAGATAATCGACGTAAGGGAGGAGGAGGAAGCGGCGGAGGAGCACGTTATGAGGAGAGAAAACATAAACAAATGAAAGCTTTGAAAGAACAACGAAAATATCAGAAACATAAGGAAGGGCGGGGAAAGGCAAGCGAGGGTAGCGAAATGTTAACCATTACAACGGGACAGAGTCAAGAAAAACTAAATGACGGCGGTAACGCCTACATTGAGGGCTATTACGAGGAAGACGATGATGAAGACGATGCAGAAGATAACAACACCAGCCTGGTTCCTGATGAGGTCAGCAGCGAAAGTGATTTAAGTGAGTCAGAGCATTCATTTTGTCGCCATTGTCTAAGACCCCAATCTGATTTGCAATTAAGATATTTGAGACCCCGGCAGCGGAGTAAGCTGAGAAATGCGCAGCAGGCCAAGCGGGAGCGTAGCAAATCACGTGGAGGAAATGGTGGAGGAGGAGGAGGCAGCGGCGGTGGGGGAAGTAGGGGTAATGGAGGTGGTGGTGGGGGCCGCAGTGGTGGTGGTGGTGACCATTCGAGAACCCGCAAAAAACGCTCAAAGAGTCGTGCCAAACGTGCCCGCAACAGCAAACATTATGCCAGTGGTACTGGCAACAACACCGGCTGCAACAACAGGAAAGAGCAACAACGACAACAACAGCAACTACAACAACATAAACTGCCATTAATACGGGATCTTAATGCGGCCAACGAACAGGCCATACGTTTCCGTTGTCCTCAAGTGGGACCACAAGTGGGACGTGATCGACAAATGCCACCATTGCTACACTTCCATCATCCCCAGCATGTGCAGCAACAACTAACAGCATATCAAGTGCAGTACACACTAACCACCCAGCAGCCGCATATGACCGAAGCCAAACAACAACAAGCATATGCAGCCAGCTGCAAACACTACAGTCCCACATCGCAACATACCACACTGACCATGGAAAGTGAACTGAGGCATCACCAACACCACTACCACCACCAGCAGCAACAGCAACAGCCATCACCTCAGTCCCCCCACCATCTGTCCGATAATCAAAAATCATCAAATCAAGTTCCACAACAAACGACAGACTTAACCAAAGATGTTGTTGTTGTTCTTCCAAGCTCCGAAGGAGCTGTCACCGAGGCGAATGCCGCCACTGCATCGGGGGCAACAACAGCAAAAAACTGTTGCTCAACTCAGCCAACAAATCCCAACTGTCAACAGTCAGTGTCAGCCGTAGTTCCTGGTTCATGTCGATGTCATGCGACAACAACAGCAATAACAGCGGGTGCAACAAATCAGCCAACGACCATTAGACCAACACTACCACAACTGCCATTAGCCAACACAGAAACCGTTATTGCTCCGCAGGGTGCTACTCCTAACAATAACAATGTCGGCCACATGGCCAGCTCCGCCAATGCAGCAGCCATCACCACCGCCACAGCCACCACCACCAATAATATCAACAATCCGACTGCAGATGAAACAGCTATCCACACGGCGACTTTGGAGCCGGGACATGCAACAGCGGCCACCACCCCGGAATCGCCGTCATTGGTCAAAGTGAGCACTTGGTATACGGTTGCTAAGCAAGGTGTCTCTTGCTAATATTTTCCTTTAAATTGTTCGCCAATTTTCATATCACAAACATGTCAGTAACAGCAGCACGAACATAGTTGAGTTGTCCCCACTTTATGCCCCCCATGTATCGAGCTAAACTTAAACTAAACAATTTCCCGCCCCAAACAATGTTTCCAACACCTCCCTAGACGTAAAAGAATACTCTGAGCTAAGTCAACACACACTCACACACCCAGAACACACACACTCTCTCGCACCCACATGAAATGCCAAAAACGAAAGGGTTATCACAAGAGAGTAGTAGTATACATATAAACATTTCTATTTAGTTGAATAAGTCATCGGGAATTTATTTATAATAAAAAAAATTAAATGTTTATTTCTTAAATTATTTTAATTTAATTAAATAATTTAAATATTTTTATTTTAAGTTTGTTTTATATAAATATCTACTACATTAAATAAAATTTAATTCGATATGAAAATATTAATGTTTTTATTTTAAATTGTTTTTGAGAGAGAAATGACAGAGAATGTGAATGAATGTTAGTTGTGGTAGGTTTGTAGTTGATGTAGAGTAGACTCAGGGAACCCCATGAACTATAACTGCACTCAAATCCTAGACATTCAAGAAAAGGGCAATTAGGGTCAGGAAGATTGTTGTTGACCAAAATATAATTTTATCCGTAAATTGCAGGCCTTGTTGCGCCAAAGGAAAGGAACTAGTTCCTCATCAGAGGGCTGCAACGAGCATGCAAAAATTCAAGTATATTCGGTTTCTAACATTATTTTTGTTGATGCAGTCGTTTAGTTTGATCTGAATGAAATGACCGTTTTCGCTTCTGATCGAATCGAACGCTCAGTTTGAATCACTTCACTCACAATCAAACATGAGACGGTTTGATGTGTTCAGCAATATGAGTTGATCGAACACATCACAACCGTGATTGTCTTCTTTGAATCGAGTTCGCTCAGCGTCATTTTTTATTCAACCATTTAATCAAGTTGGGACAGTTTATTTCGACTTTTTTAATATTTGAAATTTCCTTTCCTTTCCTGTTCCTTATCTAGTTCCGGGGACTCCGATCGTTTGTAGGAAACCTCTGCGTATGAGTTATATTAAATATATGAAATTTATGAAATCACTCATACTTTTAGGAATTGGTGTACTGAACTATTAACAAGATTGGCACAATCTATTTGTGTTCCTAATCCTTATCGCTTAGCTGAGGCAAAATTCTAAAACGATTTAAAAATTCCGGTCTGTCTACTCATGGTAATTATTTCAACTTTTGAAAGGATCAACTGATATAGCTAAAATTGTTACATATTTGTCCACGTTTGCGAATAACCGCCAAAGAGAGGTATCTTCCGATATTCTGTAGTTTGAAATTGATTATTTGATGTTCTTAATAGGCATAAGCATCTGATGCAGAAAGTAGTCAATGTTTTCGGCCGATGCATTTGAAATTGATTGATTTGAATTTTTAAATTATCAATTAAATTATCAATTACGTTGGGCGCCACTAGTCATATGCATTTGCTCCTAGGCTCTGTGACCAGAAAATAAATAAATGTTTTCAGAAGGGCGTGTTAATTCATAAAACATGTTGTGCGCCAAAATTCCTTGTGGATGCTGATCGAGCGCACCGGACTTGAAGTATTTTGAAAACTGAAGGACACATACTAGAGGCTTGAAGAAATGTGAACATTTTCGGAGCATTTTAATGTCAAAAATCAAGTTTAAAATGCATGAACTCTGACACGTTCTGGGACATAATTTTACCTTGCTAACCTATAAAAAATACAGGTCAAATTTCAGCAAAATCGATTAAAATAAGTTAAAAAGTATCGGACAGATGTATATCCTCAGCTTTTTTCCATTTATTAAAATATATTTTTAGTTGTGTTATTATTTTTTTAAACAGTTGACCCTTTGTGGGGTTGGTTTTGAAGGAGTGGGCCAATATTGTCCATTTCTTATCTAACAAAAGGGTGATATAAATATTACTACTTCATTCACTTTATATATGAAATATATGATAATTTTTGGAAAATATTGAAATGTGCGTGAGGTACATGATATAGTGAACCAATATATTCCATCTTCACATCAGATTTTATTTGTTAAATTTGAAAACAATAGGATGTTCATTTAGCATTTTATCGTCAAAATCTTGACCCGCTGTGGAGAAGGTGGTGAAGAGGGAGTGTTCCGATCTATTCCACGTTTATACAAGACCTACAATTGGTATAAATATTAGGATCCGCAAAATTTAAAAAAATGGGCATTTACAATGGTAACCCCTTGTGGGAGAGGTACCAGAAGGGGTTTGCCGATATCTTTCATTTTCACATCAAATCTTGACTTAGGAAGTAAATATAGGGTTGGGTGAAGTTTCAAAAGAATCGGTTGCTTATTTCGCTATGGCCGTTGTAGGTATTCAAAATTGTGACAGTTTGTGGGGTAGGTACTAAAAGGACTACATATTCTGCATTCACACTATATCTTCTGTTGACATAAATGTTGGAATGTGTTGATTTTGGAAAGAATCAGACACTTACTTCTCATTTTATAAGAGTAATAACTATTAAAAATGATGACCCATTGCGGGGAATGTATTTGATCGATTGGGCCGATATTGTAACAGAAAGAGTGGACCGATATAACCAATCTCCGAACTCTATCTAAGTTTGATAATAGTATTACGAGGTACCAAGTTTGGAGCAATTCATCCGTGCGCAACGGCCGGTCAAACATACAGACGGACGAACACCCCTAGATCAACTCCAAATGTCCTGAGACGTAGTTGGTCCAAGGAAACCTTAGGTCTAAAACCATTATTTCGGTAGGGCTCATGTCTATACGAAAGAGCACGCTTCAATAGACACATTAGAAGTATTTATTAGGGAAAGAAGTCCCAAATTTTCAGAAAGAGTACGTGAACATTGGACTAAGCGGATGGACAATTTGAGGGCAGTCGCGATCAACATTTGCATGAAATAACCTTCAAACATCTTATTACATCGAACGATTTTATTAAAAAAATCCCTATAGCTCTAAAAAAATCATCCTTTATAAGATTACAGAATTCCACGAGTAGATGGGAGAAAAATTTCCACTCTATTCAAAAAAAAAAAAAAATTAATGCAATACCAAAAAAGGCGCGTTGATTGTGTAGTATAAGCTTTAAGGTATATGCGGTTTCAGATTTTTTGAAAAAAAAAGTTCGTTTTTCATAATCCACAGGTGTCTTTGTATTTGGATGGTTTATAAAACATTTTTCAAGAAAAATGGTTGAAACTTAGTATTTCAAGTTTTAATATTAAAATTTTACACCAAAATTAGCCTAATCTAAACTTATACTAAGCTAGAAGATGGGTTAATATCAGTTCTTCTTTCCGATTTAAAGCGAAATCTTCCTAAGAAACTTTCTAAAGTCTGATGTTTCAAATTCGTAATGAGAGCCAACTCCTCCTCTGCCACGAGTTCGTCTAGCCCGATTAATAATACAGGTACAATGTAGATATTTTGAGAGATCTCGAGCATATTGGTTTAAGCATTGTTCGCATGGAAAAATTACCATGTAAAATAATGTGGATTATATATATACTGGGGGAAAATTACGTACCCATTGTTAAAATGCCACATTTTTCACTGCGGATTTCACCGGAATAGTTGCAGGAATATTGCTTACTTATACGTCTGATTTCGAGCATGTTTGGACATAATTTTTGGTCATATGTGTACTGCTTTTAACTTTTATCTGTTATCTTAAAACATTGATCATTATTATTGGTGCATTTTCATTTACTTGTGAATACTGGACTTGCTACCGAAAATTAATACAGCAAAGTTCAGAAAACACCCTATGCTCTCATAACTGCACTTCAAAACCATAAAATATAATTTGGTCCGGTGATTTTCAATGCATTTTCAATGAATCAGGTTCAAATAATATGATTAAATCAAGAATTGAGCCACATATAACTAACCAAAACATGTATTTTTGGGGAAGACAGTTTCAAAAAGGCAGCAATTTGATATATCGAGGAAATTTTAATAACCCATCTGACAACGGAATAACAGTGTCCTAGAATCCTCAGTTCAATTCGCATCATTATTTTATAAGAACTTTTTTCACGTTTCCAAAGTCAAGCATTTTGTGGATACACAATTTTTAAATTTCACTAATTGTTAATCTAAGGCAAAATTGTGATCTTGTATTTTAGTCCTGTTTGGAAATCTCGTAATATCACATTGCACTTCGTTTAAATGATATTTTGTAAATAATAAATAGATTCATTAAAATCTGGTTCCCAAGTATAAAATGTCCATTTGAATATTTTGAATTTTTATTATGCCAATATTAACAAATTTATTTTTAATTTTTTTTTTAATTTTCTCATATTTCGAAGTTGGCATGATAACCCTTTACACACACCATTCATTTGCAAACAACTATATCTATGCACCAAGTTCGCCAGCAACTCATGTTTGTGATGCAGCCACAGTACACACAATGTTTTTAAAAACTTTAGTTTCTATATTTTTGCTAATGTTTTTCCACAGTCACACACTTTAAGGATATATTACATACACACATGTACTACACACACAGACTCAAATACACACAAGTCTCCTTTGATACATGTGTGTGTGTGTGTATGTCAGTGCTACATCAAAATGAGTGCATCATGAGTTTGGCCTTGTTTGTCTCGTGACACGAATATCCCTCAACAAACTGAACTGAACTAAGTTTTCAAAACAAAAAAAAACGCGTCGTGTTATTTTTTTCATAAAACACAAACAAACGCTGTTACATACATACGCTAATACGTTTTGCTCATAATTTTAATTGAACAACGATCGTCGTCACAAAGCATCAAAGACTTTTTTGTCGTTTTCAACAAAATTTCCATCAAATATGAAAATTTATTCATATGGCATGTGCCGGCATCAAAACGGAAATTGATATCGGTTAAGAGGCTTTTGGGATTTATTATTGAATTGCCTATTAATGGTTGTTTTTGTGTGTGCTTGTGCCAGCCTGCCTGCCTGCCTGCCTGCATGATATTAATTAAT